CAACAACTTTATCCAGGACTGGCAATATGGTACAAGTGTGCGTGTAGTGAAGAATGTGAGAAAAGACAGTAGGATTTGGCATCCATGGTGGAAACTTTATTTAACATGAAAAGAAAGATGGGTTTCCATGAGCCTCACCAAGTCAGAGATGAAAGAAGAGCTTCCATCCCATAACAAATTAATACTTCTTATCAAATTTGCTGAGCCAAGACATATTCCCCTACTGGGAAAAAACTAGGACCTGCCATCTCCTGGAGTGTCACTGTACACTGGGAGAGCTGCAGATAAATCACTAACACCTGACAAGGGTATATCTGCTGAAGACTAATGACTGAATGATCAGAAATCCAATCCTCTCTTTAGCAGCCCTCTGTACTGCCAAAAAACTGATGGGAAAGCTGAAGAATATGGGCCAGGCTCATCCCTTGGTAGGTCCACAGAATTTAACTGCCTTATCAGAAATTGTTTTTGTCCAACATGTCTGGGACAGTCAGAAGTAGGCATGGTCCACAATAAACTTTGGCTTAAACAACGAACTAAGATAATCTAGAGTGCCTGCAACTAAAATTAAACCAGAAGACTATCAGCTTCTGTGAGTGCAAAAAAAATACATCAGCCAGAAGGAGAAAGGAAAAGTGTTAGGAAAAGTCATTTGTGAGCCATCCCTCATGTTCTTAGTTTAACCACGGCATTGGTTCTTTCCAAATCTATGCTACTGCATTAGTAACAGAGCTGCTTGCTCCCATGTACACATTTCTTTGCATCCTATCACACAGAGTACAGTCTCCATATTCTCCCAAGCATATGGAAAACCAGCTTTATATAGTGGATATTTTATTTTAAAGAGAGTTCTGCTTGAACCTCCTATTTCTATTCAGGATGGCCCAAAAAGATAGTATAAAGGCAACTTAGAGATTGGTTTTATTTGCTTTGTTATGCAGGCATTTTTGCATGTACTAACCTCTTTACATGCTCCCAAGCTCAAGCAGTGGAGTCTAAGGGAACATCCTGTTGTAGACTAAGACACGCTCATCCAAGAGCACCGGCTCTTCTGGGTCTGTATCTAGGAATCGCAAAGGGCCCATTGGCACCAAGGGATCCAGGCACCAGGCTATAAGCTGAGGAAAAGGAAAGCAAACATTTCTTAGCAGCTGGTGAGGGAACCACTCTTATTCCTTCCCAAGGGAGCTGTGTCGACATATCCTATTCTGTTCTCTACAGAACATGCATGGAAGTCTGAAGTCCTCACTCTTCCCTGCCCACAGACTTATAGACCCTGGGGGTCACAGATTCACAGGAAAAACAGCTCTCAATATGTGGCAAGGCAGCAGCTGAAGGTGGATAAGCTGTTTGTCTTCTCAGCGCTGCAGTAATTTCCCAACTGATTTCTGAACTCCAGAAGAAATGACAAGGACGGAGAGGAGGAGGGGAATTAGAGGAAACTACGACTTCATCATTCAACAAGAGTTTGTGAGAAAGCAGGTTATGTTGGGGGACCACCAAACGCGACGTCTTTCATTGCCCCACCTCCCACAATGCAAAGGTGCAGTGTTACCTCTTCTCCCACCCCCCATCTCATCTACCCCCAGACAAAGTATTCCCGAGCTCACCATATAATGTAGTTTTTCATGGCATGCCTGCTTATCAGGACTCTGAAACTATGTGAGACATGCATGCAGACAATGGGCCTGTCTCTCAGCCACGGAGGGCTCTGAAGGGATCCCTTTCAGCCCTCACAGATTGCTCTGTGTTCCCTTAATTGACAGACCCGGCCAAGTCTGACAGCAGCGGCGTGCAGCTGGTGCAGGCTGCTCTGTCTCAGGTAGGCCACCTTTCAGCAGGGAAATTGCTTTTGATTGGCTTTATTGGAAGTAGCTTCTCCTATTCTGCTGGCAAAATACTCTTGTATTTAATGGCTGACAATTTAGGACCAAACTGTCTTTCCCGGAAGGTTACTTCTTTTCCCCATAGGCCTAAATAAGCTATCTTGAACAGGACTGGACCACAGCCACAAGGTACAACCTTATTTTGTTAGACCTGCTAAGGCTCTGAGATTTTCTGGAGCTTAGTTTCTTTTATCTCTCAAATCCCCAAGATTTGGCTACGGCCTGAAAAAATTAAGATCCCAAAGCAAGATCAGAAGAGCTGACAAATACTAAGAGGAAGTCCTTGACTTTAGTGCATGCTCTAGACCTCCTGAGAGTCTAGGCTGCCACTTCCAAGAAGACTTTCAGGACTTTGTCTCTACCTTTTCTTAGTAGTTGGTGAAGGATAGACATGAAGTTCCACTCAGACTATTTTCAGCCTTGAGTATCTGTGACATCAATTATTTACCAAAAATTCATTAGCATGCAAATGAGCATTTCTTGGGAGGGTGGAGGGGAAGGGTGGGGAAATAAATTTTAAAAAGAGAGGGATGAGACTAGTATGCTCTCCTGTAAGTTGTTAGCCTGAATCTTACTATCCTGTCCTTCACACTCTGGTATGCTAGATGAGGGTGTACAGGCTCAGCCCATACTTCATGGGCTGCCAAATGCAGCCCTATTTCTTTTCTGCATTCAGGGAGAACTGAGTTAGGCTTCAGCTTTATCAGACAAAAGTGTAAAAATAGTCTCCATTACCTTCCATAGGTTTTCTTTTTCAAAGTTCTGTTGGCCTTAAGATTTTTTAATTATTATTTCTATTTTTTAATATATTTGCACTCAGTTTTCCATTGCATTTTATTACAGCACTTCTGACAGGCTTTGCTTAACAACAGATAGAATCAGGTTCAATCTTCAGGGATCATTAGTAAAGATCACTGTAAGAACCCACTCAGAAACCTGGGAAAATTAAACTAAACTACTTTGCACTCAATGAGCTATACTTCTTCAGAAATGATTACTTTAATGACATAACCAACCAGTTTTTCAATGAAAGGAGAAAAGAAATAAATTAAAAGAAAAAACATGAGTTCTTAAAGTATAGCAAGAGGAATTTGAAGCTGTCCTCTCAGATTTCCTGGTGCAGAACAGCTGGGACAGTGAACAGCTTCCTACTCCCTGCAGTAACATACAGTCTAGCATGTCTGTGCCAAGTCCATTCCTGTTCTTCTGGGTTCCACCCTTCCATCTCCTTCTAGGAAACACTTCTTCTCTTCAGGTATCAAACTACTAGAAATGGGATCTCTCAGTTCCTGCCTGTTCAAGAGGTGGAAGGGCTCCAGAGGAAGGTACAGGTGCTGTTGCTGTAGACGCCTTTGCTTAAGAGTAAATTCCCACTTTGGCCAGCTGTGCCTTAGCTGAAGCCTCTACAAGAAGTAAGCACAGGTGAGGACTGAGGGGACTGACACCCACCACCAAATACAATGATTGCAGGTTTATTAGCCTCACCCTGTCCAGTTCTTAGCCTAAACACCAAAGCAGAAGGGAAGCTTGTTATGTGATCAAAGCACTGAGTCACACGTGGGGGAATCCGCATTCTCTTTTAACAGTGCCATAAGATTTCAAAGTTTTTTTTCAAAAATTCCAGACATTTTCCCAAAAAGTACAAACCACATTTTCTACAGAACTTAAAGTCTCTGGTGCTGCTTCTCAGCTATGTAGGTTATTTCAAAACTGTGGTATTTAATCCTTTATATATTATTGATACAGAGAGAACAGAAATCTCTAGCAGAAGGTCCAGAGATTAACTCCAAGAAATATCACTGTGTTATGCAAATCATCATCACAAGTTGTTCCTATAAACATCACCTATCAACACTTTGTACTACAGGATCTGGGCATTTTTTATGTGACACCAGTGAAATCCTTCTCTCTTTCTCTTCTGCATACATTTCTGTAGGAGATATTGCTTCCTATTGCTTGCTGATTTGTATTATGCTGGTCTGTACTTTCCTATATTTAAGGTTATCTGAAGTCTTTGCTTGAACAGAAAGAGATGTAAAATCACAGAGAGGTATTTTTCACAGAAGACTGTACTGTAGGATTTCCTAAAGATGTTCAGAAACCAAATTTGTTTGCTTCCTGAAGTCTGTTCTCCTTTTCAAGGAAAGATCTGCTGCATTCCCATCTCTACCATGTTATGTTCCTAAAAGCTGCAATATTCTAGTCGCCAGCTGAAAAATCTGACCTTTAAAGTAGGTAAGTTTTATACCTTAGGAACAAATCACTATGACTGGGATCCTCTTGTCTGAGGATGGTGTCAATTAGACACTGACAGGGCAGGCTACAGGCTCTATTGCACACTGTAGAAGCACAGGGCAAATGGTAGGGGTCCCACCCTAACCTCCAGGGAATTCAGCTCTCTGTGCACTACATGATACAGGAGGACACAGAGTTTTTGCTAGGCATAAACTCTTGAGTCTGATTTTCCATTTTTTCAAGCAGAGAAGAATTTAGACTTTTTGTTAGGCTGACTGACCCGCAATGGACTAGGACAGGCTACACAGACATACCTACGCTATCACACGCATTACCCTGATACTTAACATTCCCCCTTTGGCAACCATAGGCTTATATTTTGATTTTTAAGCTAATGATCTTTGCCACAGTTTATAACTCCTTCAGTACATGACAGCACACGCAGTCCAACTAAAGCCCTTTCTCTAGGGCTATTAGGACAAACTGAAAAAGAGTGACCAGAGAAGGACTAAGACACAACAGTGGCACAAATTCCCATTGCAGAGGGGGGGGGGGGTCAATCTGCAAGGCTTTTTTGCTCCATGTGAAAGCTCTTCACTGGGGAAGTCTCCAAGCCAAAGGGGAGAAGCCCAGATGGAGGGAAGAGTAAGGAAACCCAAGGGCAGCCAGCAAAAAAGGTTTCTGAACTGAATAAATGGAAAACACTGTTGTTCTTGATGCTACCTGGATTAGGGAGGTGACCAACCGCTAAGGGTCTGAAAGGCATTCAAGTTACTGTACTGGCAAGTCCAACATTGACATCATGACCACTCCAATGGAAGTCTGCAGTAACTATTCAAGCTACTATGACATCTCAGGTAACTATGCTCACAGCCTGATACAAGGTTTTGCTAAGCTCCCAGAGCTCACTAGCCCAGAAATGGGCATGAGGTCCAGGGGACATGGCTCATGAGCAGAGACTCCAGGCCTCTCCCAGTCTCTGGGAGCAGAGAAAGGAAAAGTCTATGAAGGAACACAAGAGGTGGCAGGGAAGAAAGATGTTACAGGGCTACATGTAATGACTGAGGGCTCATGAGCAACCCTTACGAGGTAACGTCAGTCATTTTCACTGGTGGGGGAGGCGAGGAAGAGAACCAGGGGAGTAGCTCAGCTGCAGCAAAGCCACACAAAGTTGGTCTGTTCGGCCGCCTTTGTGGCACTGTTGTATTTATTGAAGGCAGCAGCAGTTTGTTCTGTCCTTTCAGTTACTGTACGGGACCCGATCAGGGTGCAGATGGGACTACAAAGCAGCCCTTGTTGTCAGTAATGTGACTCACATGTCAGGCTCTTATTTGCTGTCAGTGGCTTTATTAAAGTCTACAGTTTCAGACCCTAGACCCTTGCCTATTGTATGCCCTGGCCCCAGAGATTCTCTTAGGGAGCGCTCACAATTACCAACTCTCTCACAAGAGCACACAAACACACTGAGCTGGCAGGGCAACTGCGCACTCAGGGCTGCTGCCCAGGCTAAAGCCAAGCTGGGGCACTTTTTATCTTTGAAGCTAACACATCTACAGAAATGGACGGAATAGAGAAGAGGCTGTGCCTGGCACAAGATCTCTTCATCTAAGATCGTCTGGTAATATATTCATTTAACTTACATATATTTATTTATATGTTCTGCACTTAGAAATATACTAATACTTGCACTCATGCTCACATGCATTCATGGCTATACTCTCCATATGTTCACATACACATTCACATCTGTGCTTCACTCACATGTTTGTGCAATCACACTTGTGCACCAATGTCAATACACAGATGGGCAGAACTTTGCACAATGCAAACCACACGTAGTCACATCATCAAATCCCCCCACAGGTACTCACAGCCTCAGTGTCGCACAGGAAGGCACACTTACTCTCACCACTGCATTCTCACACTCAGAGATTGTAGTTTCACACACACAACCCACAGCTTGTAGTCTCACACTGGTGTATACATTCTCACAGACTCAGCATGCACTAGTGTGGCTGCACAATCACATCTGCACTGCTACACACAGATGAGAATTTCCACAAAGGCATTCGCATCCCTTCACTTTGAGTAGAACAAAATTCAATTTCAGAAAAATCAGCTGAAGTTAAAGGCTTATTTCCCAGGCAAGTATTCCTGTAAAGACTCAAGCTCTTACCTGTATATAAATGTAGAAGGTTGGTATTTCTATTTCTTTCTGGAATTGTGCACACTTCAGAACAGCCCTACTTGTCACAGGGAAAGCTGCATGGGAGCGAGTCTGGCTAGTAGGAATGGCTCTGTATGTGTGATGGCATTAAGGAAAGTGCCTGTAAATGAAAAATGTTTCTAACAGGAGACCAAGGCTGTAATAAGTGCAAAATATCAATTAAAGTAATGCAGATATACTGCAAATGCAGTGCAATTGCACTTTTTCTATTGGAGGGTTTCAAAATGCTTTACAAATTATTATTCTGCGTTTGTGGCATGTGATGGTAGCCTCAGGGAACTTGTTCAGTATCTCCCCAAACTGGGCATAACAATGATGCTTCCCTACACTCTATATCCTAGAGGCTATAATCTGATCATGCTGGAAAGCCCCTTAAAAACTGTAGTTTATTTAAACATAGTAGATCCCGAGATGCTACACGTTTCCTCCCTTACTGGCATGCTTTTATCCCCAGTGAAATAATTTGATTACATGCTTCTTTGGAAGGGCCTTTTAAGGCCCTTCAACTTCAGCCCTACTTAGTTGACTTTCCAAGTAGTCTGGTTGCAATTTCAAGCTCTTGACTATGCAGATTTTATTCAGGTATTACTAAACTGTAAGAGAAGCTAAAAACAGAGTTTGAAGGCAGAGTCTCTAGATGATCCAAGACATAGATATAACTATGCAGTCCACATAACCACTAGGTTTCATAAACATCATGTCTCTGACCTGGAAACTTGCTGCACCTTTCTGCTATGCTACTGCACAGCTGACCTTCCAAGCCTACCTGCTAGTAGAGTTGCCCTCCTTCCTACCTCTCCACTGCTTTTTCTTTCTTTAACACAGCAATCAGAAGGTGCTTGTATTCCCTCTCAAGGACCTTCACTGGTACCTGTATTCAATATCTCTTATTCTAGGCAAGGAAAGAGGGCCCCACATCTCACCATCTCTATTCCCACACCCACTGTAAACTGCTGGATCAGATCTGTTTCCTTGTGCCACTCACAGGTTTTATGAAGGAATGGAGCTCCTTATAAATGTCCCTTGCTTGTTTCATTGGTCTTCATCACGAGCCCATCTGCAAAATCCTTTATAACGACATTTTCAAAAAAGTACTTTGTCCCATTTGTTTATGCTGCTACTGCTACTTCAGACAAGCTCCATACATTCCCTAAGCCATCTATATTCCCTGTTGCCTTTTATCTTACAGTTCCTCTCTGGATCTATAGAGCAAAGATTGCCTTTTCTTCTCTGTTTTCAGCAGCTATTCAAGCAAAACACCCAGAGCTTAGGGAATCACCTTAGAAATAAGGATCTTACCATTGGTTTCTAACTCTGTTCTTTTACTTGGTACCCTCTGCCTTTGTTTCCCTCTCTAGTAATTAGTCTGCTTACCTCCACAAGCATTTGTCACACATGCAAAGTATTACAAATTAAAGATCAGGTCCCATGGGTCTGATCCAGTTTATACTCAATCAAAATTCCCACCACCATCAGAGAACACCCTGGTGTGAGATTTAGCCCCAACAATTACACTCATATTATTACTCTAGAGAATCAGGTGGCTTATTTGGATTCTTACACCTCCACTATCACCATGCAGACAAACCAGACCAGCAGATTACAGATGCTGGTGCACTTCAAAGCCCCTTGGGGTAACTATCTGACCATCTCTGGTGGTAAATGAGCAAAACACTAAAGGTCATCAGCCAGTTACAGCCTCTACTAAAAAGCTCCCTCCATCTTCTAACTCAGGAATTAAAATTTCCAAGACTCAACACTGGCATCTGACAAAACATCCTCAGCATGGCATTCCAGCAGCTGCATTAAATTGTGTTTGTGGAAGTGAAGGAACTGCAGGATATTGAAGTGACTGGAAAAATGTAACAGCATTTCCCTTAATTCAGGCACATGGCCCAGTCCTGTAGATATTTCGCCTTAAGGGTTTTTATCAACTGACATGGCTTAGAACTGTGCTGGCTCTCTCTTCAACTTTCTATCTGCAGGCCCTGCTTGCTAGATAAATAGCTATGCTCATATAGAAAAACCTGCACTAATAAAAACATAGACAGCCAGAAATCTGCTGCCAACAAGCAAAATATCCTATATTTCACTGCTCTGCCATAGGAGAGTCATATCTCACTGAACAAATATTCATTCCTAAACACTGTGCTAATGCATAAAAGAGTCTCCAACATATCTTGGAAAATTTATGGAAAAACAAGGCAGTCCATCCAAGCTACAGATTCTCTGGGCTTCATTTTGCCTCTCCTCTTTCCTCACCATACACTTGAGACCATTTGAAGAGAAGATAATTTCAGATTTTTCAATGTGCTTTTGTTCTTTTACTCTTCCCTCTCTATAAATAGATCAAGAGGATCAGTGCATTGACCTGTTTTTTTTGTTGTTGTTGTTGTTGTCGTTGGGGGGTTTTGCTGTTATTGTTTTGTTGGTTTTTTGTTTTGTTTTGCCTTTTTTTGTTTTTTGTTTGTTTGTTGGTTGGTTTGGAGATCTTTTTAGCCAAGTTGAAGCAGAAGCACTGGCTTTTCTGGTGTCAATTATAATTATGTGACCATGTCACGATCTTCTGTCTCAGGTTGCTAGAGTTCTAAAGCATGGACTTTTTTGTTTGTTCTGCATCTGTATGTTGTCAGGCATAGGCCTGCCTTCATAGGTAATATGGATCCTTGGCATTCCAGCAATACAAATATATACTAGCAAGTGAGGCTTGCAGCAGTAAATGTATGGGCTCCCTGATTAAGTCAGCAAAATCAGAAGTTATTTGTCTACAAGTCATACTTGGACTTAAAGCTCTCTGGGACTATATTTTGTGATTGTCAGGCCCTTAAGCACAAGCACACCCCCCAGTAAAAATGAAGACTTGTAAACAATTCAATTTATGGATTGTCAAGAATCAAGAGGCTATCTCTATGAAATAAAGAATAAATATCCTTACATAATTTTTATCGCTTGAAGCAAGCAAAATCTTTTTCTCTAGAATGATCATGTTGCAAGGCATTTTCTGATTTTCTGATCTACAACAAATGGGAGATTCTTCCTTCCTTGCTTGCAAAAACATTTGTGCAGTGCTATTGCAAACTCTAAAGCAAGTTCCATCTTCTAGGCCAACAGAAGCTACATTTCTTAAGAAGAGTCTCACAGTACCAACAACACATCCATATATTTGCATTTACTCTCATAATTCAGATTGCTTTGAGATGCTTCAGAATGAGAGGCACAACTGATAATTATTATATGACAGCATTTTTTGAAAGATACTGACTCAAACATTGCTTGTTTTGGTTTCACTATCTGGAAAGCATGAGCAAAGAAAGCAAGTAAAACTTTTCTTAAAAAGCAAGTGTCATTATTCTACCACTTTCAAAACTCAAGCTCCTGGCTGTGTAGAGCTTTGCTAGGTGTCATTATAATATATTAAAAAGTATGAAGAGGATTACCTGGTATCTAAGAGAAAAGAAGGAACATCACACTGCCAGGAATGGAAAAGAACACACACTGCTTACCTGTACCTGCCTCAGCTCCTCACTGGGGCCCTACAGACCTCAGTCTCTCACTTGAACATGGCAGCTGGGGACCGCGGTGTAACACAGCTGCTCTGCACCACAACCTCAGCTCACCTCAGCCTCTGTATGCAGCTGACACTTACATACTTTGGGCAACATTAAGAAAGTTGATTCTAGCTTCATTAGCTATATGCATAGTAAATAGGATAGAGACCAACCTTGAACACATTAAAAGTAATATCAACAATCACTGGGAAAGAATGAAAAAGTTTGTTTCCATGATTCAGGTTTTCTAGTTAGAGATGAAAATCAAGTTCTCTTCCAGTCCCAAACATAATTCCACTAAGAAACACATTTCACATCAACAAATGCTAATAGAAAATGTTCCCCACTGCTCACATGAAACTGTTATGCAGATGAAACATGTTTCCTGCCAGTAACAATGAGTTACCTGCAGTTAAAACAGCAGCTAATCAGCTTTACTCACCATTAACGTGAAATGAACATGATGCTAAGTCTACAAAATGTTGGCTCAAAGCAGCCATGGTGGTAAGTTGGCTACACCAAGTGAGAGGTCCTTACCATGTTCTCAAGCTCTGCATAAGTGCAAGTCTTTAAGACTGCTTTGTTATACTAA